AATTCATCTTTTTCTTTCATATTTTAATCATATTTTTTACGGCGTCCCTATGCACGTCGTAAATACTTCATGCGGATTACGGCGTGTGCACATGAACGCCATAAATACTTTATGGGAGCGTGAATAAATACTTTTTACGGTGTGCCGAAAATGCACGCCATAAATTGTCTCTTTTTACAGCGTGCATAAAATGTACGCTGTAAATACTTTATGCAATTGATCTTTTACGGCTAGCATTTTTTGCACGCCGTAAATTGTCTCTTTTTACGGCAAGCGTGAATTGCACGCCTTAAACATATGCCGTAAAAAAGCTGTTTTTGTTGTAGTGATTAGAAAGAAATGTTTAGTCCTTATTTGTTTTGTCATCTAACTTTGAATCACATAAAACTCATATGATTTTAACATTAACATATACTGACAGAAGTTGTCACTTGAAAACATATTCACATATTTAAAAAGATTGGAGATCCAAAAGTTCACTTTTGAAGCTTAAAAACCAATAACTACATTGTGAAATATTGAAAAATCAAATTCTATTTTTCCTAAAATTAGCGAGTCGGCTTTGGTGTAAAATTTAAACATAACAGTATCCTAACATATATTTTATATGACAATTTAATAATTTGTGTGCTGGGGATTAAAATTAGTAGATTTTGATAAAAAAAAAATGATAAAATATATGATTGAAAAGTTGCAAATCCTATGAAATATATGATTAAAATCAATTGTTAACTTTAATTTAAATTAAAACCCGAATTCTAATTTTTATCAAACAGGGGCTTCTATCAAAAGGTGTAATACTTTTAAGAACAAATATGAAGGACGTTTGGTTGATTTTTTTTTTTTTTTTTTAGTTTTATAAAACACCAAATACTTGTTTGGTTTAGATATCGTTGAAAATTTTATTTTTGGAAAAAAATTATATATATAACATAAAACTCGAAACATATTTTCATTGAAAACACTCAAAATACAGTAAATAAAAATAATATTCTTATACAAAGCTGAAACTCAAATTGCAGGTCGAAGCACCTATTAAAAAGTTTATCTCCAAACCACTGAACACCAAAGTTTTCCAAATCGAAGGCTCAGAATATTGTACCCGTCTGTTTCAACACCATGAAAACCTAGATTCATCCAAAACCCTCACGATTCACAGTAAACGTACAGTTTCTTCTATGGACTAGAAGAGTTCTAGTTACCAACAACAACAACAACAACGTTTCTTTCACTAGATTTCACACCGAAAACACACTTAAGAAACATATTCAAGAGTTCCTTACAGCAGAAGACGAAGATGAAAAGAGAGAAAGCCAAAGAATCTAGAAAACCCTCAAGAAGAATGAAAACATAATGAAATAATGAAAAACCATTCAAATACCAAATATCAACGCATCAAGATGGGCAACAGTCAATCCAACGGTCCAGATAAAATAACGCTTTTGTTAAAGGAAATACAACTAAAGTTACATTAGCCAAACACGCTTTTATCGGATCGAGTATTTGGCTTGGTTATCTGGGCTCGTTTCAGCGGAATATTTTGGGCAATAGCAATTTGGCAGAAAGCATTTCATCATCGCCTATTGAGGAGGACTGGCATCATAGCCTTTACAAATACAATTCTTCTTTCCAATAGCAAATCAAACCCACCCAAATAACTCATCGTCTCTAGAAAAGGGTAATCCAATTCCCCTTCTTTCCAATGGAAAATAACGCATTGTTTATGAAGTCAATTTATATTTTTTTATTTTTTGTCAAATCAATTTATTATTTGTTTGTATTTTATTTTTATAGTGACAAAAATATTGTAAAATTCACCAACTTTAAAATATATATATAGTAATTGATAAGATATTAGTGCAAAATTGTTCTATTTTATTGAATGGTCAAATTCATTGAATAAAATGTCATATAATAATTTTTAAAAATTTCAAACTAAACGTATTTGCCAATTTTTTTTATTTAGACCATTAAAACAAAAAATTGAAAATGAATCCAAAGCTCAAAACTGAAAAATAAAACACAAATCAAGTGGGAACTAATTGTTTGAGCTGTTGGGATTTTTAAGAGAAAAAAGTTATTATCGGCTAATTATTTGCTGAAAAAAGTTTTAAGAGCTTTAGGCGGTGTTCTCTTTGTGTTTCAATTTTGTGTTTTGAGTTTTGAATTCGTTTTGTGTTTTGTGTTTTGATTGTCTGTTTTGAAATTTTTGAAAATGCGTTATGTTTGCCATTTTGAAAAACTGTTTCTGAAAACATGAAAATAGA